TTTAGCGATAAATTCATAAAAAAAATTTCAAAATTTTATATTTTTTCCACTCGATATTTTGTAGTTATAATTAATTGATGCTCATTTCATTTTAATACCATAAATTACTTATCCCTTTCTTAAAGTTAAGCAGTGAGAAAACTTATATTCTCAATTTACATTATAATCTTTTTCGAACTACACATATTGGAGATTTGCACGGAAATAAGTTTTTTTGATAAATTTTTAACTAGCCGAGAAATGCATATAATTCATTTCAATGTCTCTTTTTCAATTTGCTACTTGCGAGGATAACGAACTTAAATTTTTCAACCCTAGTCCTAAATGCTTACATTCAGAAGCTCAGGCGATTTAAACAACATTTGAAGATACTGATGATTATTGATTAATTATAATATTATGAAGTCAAACAGACTCAATAAACATAGGCAAACCAATTTTGTGATCTTTGTAGTCATAATCATTAAGAGCAGCAGGTACTTGCAGAGTATAATAATATAGGATTATATACATATGTACACATTAATATTTCGATTCTTGCGCATACTCAGTATTTGTACACCTCGATTCTTGCAGTAAAGAATAATTTTCAATTACATACTCAGTACTAGCGACATCGAAATAATTTGACCTCGATACTTGCGATATGACCTTGTTATTTTTGGTAACGGTTCCTTAGATTGAGTAAATTTCGGGGAAGTTCCGTTTTATTTCGCTGATGAATTTCGACTCTTCGCACGTGCATTTTGGGAGATTTGAATCAGTTTTAACTGACGTTTTGTGTAGTGCGGTTTCATTACAGCAAGGAAAAAATTTACGTTGCTTACAAAGTTGACATTTTAAGGAAATTAAGTGAAGGATATTCTGTCAATTCCTTAGTCAAAAAATTTCAAGTGAACAGATCAACAATAGCTCGTATTAAGAGAAATGAAGTCACCATAGAGAAGTTCGTGTGGTATACTGAATCTGGTCCTGGGAAGAGGAAAACTTAAAATAATCCAGTTAACCCATTTTTACAAAAATTAAACAAAAATTACTGATTTAGGTTTGAACAAGGGCACACACTCAACGTCGATGAGTCTGGCCTCTTTTGGAAGCGTTTGCTTGATAGAACTTTTGTCGCTCAAATAAAATCTCGGCTCCGGGACATAAAATAAGTAAAGAAAGAATAACTTTTCTTGCTGTACGAATGAGTCTGGTGATCATACAGTAAAATTAGTCGTTATTGGGAAATCATTGAATCCACGCCCTCTCAACAATTTTGGGGCTATATCTGTTCCCTACTAAGGAAATAAAAGTCAGTTTGACTTTAATTGAGGGATGGTTTCACAAAACATTTGTTCCAGAGGTATGTATAATTTTGTTCTAAAAAACTTCTGTTATCAATTTAAAATTGTAGGAAAACAAGTAAGGAAGGGCTAAGTTCGGATGTAACCGAACATTTTATAATCTCGCAAAGTCAAATGGTATACTTGTTTTAGATTTCTTTGTGGATCTTGCCCCCTTGTTCTATGTTGACCGATAATTACGGTAAAAAGTCAACTATAGGCGCTGGGGTTCACATATTCAGTACCTAGGGGCTTGAACAGTTTTGGTTCAATTTAGAGAATTTTTGGTCACAAGGTGGCATACTTTAAACGCATTATTCACGCAAAGTTTTACCCCGATACAATCATTGTTGCTTGATTTGCATACTGGAAAGTGAGAGAATCAAATGGAATTTAAAAGGGTATTATATGGGAAGGGTTGTAGACCAATTTCGCACTATAATATAGAAATATGAAAAGAATATTATGTACCGAATTTGGTTGAAATCGGTTCAGCGGGAATCAATTCAAGATATTGGTTTTCACCTAAAAGTGGGCGGTGCCACACCCACTATCTAATTTTGAACGTGATGCTGTTGAGCAGTTAAGCGCGAACGGCGCAGTCACCGCTGACAGTAGCTATGCATGTGTTATTAGATTTGTTGTTAATATATTTTTATTTATTGAATAAAGAAAAAAGTAATAAAATTATAATTATAATTTAAACTAGACAAGCTCGAGGTTCTACTTGAGCTTGCTTGGTGATACGTTGCTCTTTACAAGGCTAGTAGATTTTTTTTACCGGGTTTGATTACAGAATTGTAGCAAATGATTAGCGAATGTATTTGGATGAATACGGAGTTTAAGTTCGTATTTATTTCTGATGTTATCTACTTCTTGCTTTACCATAGATCCCTAGATCTTTGTGAATATTTTCATTACAAATTTACTAAGGTAAACACGTTATAGCTCTAAGGATGTTAGACTGGAATCTCTGTATTATATCAATGTTAGTTGCACAGGTCGTACCTCACAGCTCAAAACTTTGTTGTGAAGGTAAATTTTAGAATCCTTATATTTAAAAGCCAGTTTAAATTTTCTGCTCCTATTTTCATGCTAGTTATTTTGCTGGATATGTGTTTTCTCCATGTGAGCCTTCTGTCCAAGTGAATGCCAAGATAAGTATCATCTTTTGTTTGTGGCCCTAAGATGTTATGGTATTCATTGTAGTCGGCTGACACACTTGTAGTCATGTGAAAATGTAACATGCTTACAATTTTGTTCATTTACATTTATTCGCCAGTAGGCTAGCCATTCTACGACCAAAGCTAAATGCTCCTCTAGTTCTCTGGATGCTCTGTGTCAGACGCAAATGTTGGAATGTCTGCTGTATATATGATATATACAACTCTATATGTTGGGCCTAGTTTACTCCCCTGAGGTACACCAGCCCTTACAGGTCGTACATCCGATATGAAATTAGCTACTTTAACAGTAAATTTTCTATTTTTTAAATAAGACCCCGATGTTTTATACAATTCGAAAGGGAATAATGTTTGAATTCTAAGTAAAAGGCCTTCATGCCACACCTTATCGAATGCCTGAGCTACGTCAAGGAATATTGCTGAGCAATACTCTCTGCACTCCAATACCTTTATAATTTCGTTAGTTATTGTATTTATTTGTATTATGAGATTAATTATGAACACATGTTTATGATTTGAAATATAAGTTTTTAAATTTATGAATAGTTTTGAATTTTAAAAGATAAAAAGTAGCCTATGTCCATTCCCTGATTTGAAGCTATAATGTAACTAGTACGACTATATATAGATTAATATGTTCTTTAATATTGTAGAACATACTTTTGTTCTATCATCAATAGTTTCCGCAGCCCATGCGACGAAAGACGTTTTAGGGCATTTTTATTACACCTTGGGTTTCGTTACTTAAATTTTAGTAAGGATCCCCAATATTTTTTAGCAATAAATATGGCTATGTTACGCAGAGTGAATGAAGCTTTCCAATGGTGAAGGGATTTTTGATATCAGCATAGTCGTTTTTAAGTTTATTCATTACAAACATACACACACACAAAAATCCAAACCTTTCCTCTTTATAATAGTAGTGTAGATATGTAAAAAGTTTTAGCAAAAGAAAAAGAACGTATAATATTGGAGCTATTCTACAGCTTTGTTCTGAAAATGTGTGAAATTGGTCCACGAATTATCTCATATGTTAATATAATTACAAGTATATCCGTTATTCTAGCAGGCTTTATTCATGATAAATTGACTTTTAATTTGACTTAAGAACGTTTATGTTGGTCTAAATGGCTTTTATTTTAATGAAATTAAGTGGATTAACCACTATATGGTTTAGAACTGAATATGAATGAATTTGGTATAGACATTGTTCTGAACCTCAGACCCCTAATAAAATGGATTCCCATTATTTAATTGATTTTTTCCTCAAGACCCCAATATTTTAAGTCTTTTCTAGAGTTTACCTATATCGCATATATCTCATTTGAGTTAATTAGTAATATTTCAGGCAAGCAAAATCTATTAATGAAACTAAGTGAGTCTACGACCTATAATAAACAATACAAAAGTTAATAAGATGCCAAAATTTGGTTTTTCGAAAAATGCATGCTGAATTCTTATACACCACTTTTTATACCTTGAATAGGGAACATTAATTCTGTCAGGAAGTTTGTAACACCCAGAAAAAGTAAACACCATATATACTTATATATGGTATATAAATGATCAGTGTGATGACTTAAGTCGATTTAGCCATGTTTGTCTGTCTGTATATATGCGAACTAGTTCTTCACTTTTTAAAACATCGATATAAAATTTTTCACATGTTCTTTTTCCCCCAAGAGGCTGCTCAGGTGAGAGTACCGTCGATATCAGACCACGTCCTTGTATGGAATCCTTTTTTTATTTGACAAAGAAAAAATTGTTCAGATTTCCGAACAAATTGTGCAGCTGGGACCACTATTTCCCAGGTTCTTAGAATTGAAAATTACGAGAGTATAAAATGTTATGTTACACCCGATCTTCCTTACTTGCTTTATAAACAAAACTAGACTATACTAAATATTATGCTTTTTCTCATTTAATATTTCATCTTTTAATTGCGATGTTTTGTAAGTTTATATTGAAGGCTATAATCTGAACATTAGTTAATTAAGTGGGTAGTAGTATTTTTGATCAAGTAAATATTTGTATCCAAACCAAAGATTGCCTGGTATCCCTTTGAAGTCATATTTTTTTAAAATGTTCATGTACTTTTTTATTCATTGCGACTTCTAATATTTACCGAACAACAACCTTCAGATGTCGATCTAATATTAACAAGCTTCGAGCGCAATACCATATTTCATATGTCTATCAGAGAGGGAGAGTTGCTGTAAACGTGCCCTGTCCACTTTTACGTTTTTTGAAGACGTTTTAACTATGATTTGTATTTATTGCACAGGTGCATATATATTTGTATTAATCCAAAAGTATGAGCCATCAGTTTTTTCACAAGTAAACTCTAAAAATAGCAGAGAATCGGGTTTTAAATACTGATGTTTACTTGATGATTTGATATCAGCTGCTTACGTTTTTCTAGTTCCGTTAAAAGTATTCGATCAAACTGCTAACAATTAGTTGATTTGTTTATCTGTTCTCTCTGCAGGAGCCGTGGAGAATTGCCAATTGCGAGTTCCGATCGCTTGCGAATAACACAGACCAGCACCGCTGTGCAATTGGCTGTGGAGCATGTGCAGCGGGAGGACGCCGGTCATTATACATTGATAGCACGAACGAAAGGTAATGATTTAATTCGCAAAGATGTGGAGCTCATTGTCGAGGACAGATCGACAGGTGAGGATCCGCCCGTATTTCTACGACGACTAGTTGATTTGTCGGTGAAAGTGGGAATACGAACGCGATTGTTGGTCGAGATACGTACTTCCACTGATGTTAAAGTAAGACTTTCTTGTCTATTTGGATTTAATATAAAAATTTGATTTTGTACATATACATATATGCATGTATCCACGAAATAGCTCACTTGGTACCGAAATGATCGCCGAATATGTGAAAACGATCGAATAAATGAAGTAAACGAGGGCAACTTCCACTATTTGGAAGTGAGTCCTGTTATATTGGAAGATGGTGGACAGTGGATGGTGTTGGCTGAAAACTCGGGTGGACGCAATTCATGCATAGCACATTTGAATGTGCTTGTGCCCAAAGCCTACAAGGCACCCGAGTTCATCGAGGAGTTACGTGCTGTGCTCACACAACAAGGCACGGTTTCGCTCGAGTGCAAGGTGATTGGTGTGCCCACACCTCAATTGCGTTGGTTTAAGGACTCCAAAGAAATCAAAGCTGGTGATGTATTCGCCCTGACCGCTAACCTGGATGACCCCACTTCACTGGGTACATATACTTGCGAAGCTGTCAACTGTATGGGCAAATCATATTCCAGCTCGAAGGTCCATGTAGTCGGACGTGGCAGTAGGGAGGGATCGCTCAAACCAGCTGACAGGTGAGAATAATTACTTCTCAGTAGAGAAAGGTATCTCTGTTCTCTCCAGTCAATTTTCTCCGCACTAATACTACATTAATTTCAATTTCTCTTTTTTCATAATCGACGTTTACTTGCTCGACATCTCTTCTGCGCATAGCATCCCAAACAATGCACCACCGCCGATATTTACGAATGAGTTGCGCGATATGAGCGTCCGCATTGGGGAGCCAATAATTCTCGGATGCCAAGGTAGGTGTGATTTTAGTAGTAGTAGTAGTATCACTGGTAGTAGCTGTACACGCGGAGGTGTTTGGGCAACTTGCCAATCATCACAATCGAACATACAATAAGCTCTAATAAGGTGGACAAAAACAAAACGACTTTTTCTGTAAATTGCATCACCATTTCACCATTCGCACACGAGACATGCTGTTGAGCGGTTAAGCGCGAACGATGCAGTCACCGCTGGCATCCACACCAACAGATGGCTATAATGGCGCTGATTTTACTACTTTTAATACGATTCAAGAGAATCTATATACACACTATATGTAAGAGTATTGTTGCCTGCGCAAAGCAAACAATGCCTCGCGCCTTTCGCGAATACATTGAAATGTTCAAACTTGAACTCGATTAAATACTTGGATTCTTCGGTGTGTTGCGGTAGGTCAGTCACTTTGCGTGTCGATCGTGCCGAACCTTTGCTCTTGTATATCTGTGCAAATTACATGCGTTGCAAAACCGAATGCCACGATCAAAACAAACGCATATCAAACGAACAAGATGAAGAAATCAAATGAAGATAAAAATAGAATAAACACATATTTACAATATGTGTGTACATATAAATATTCGACTGTAAGTGGGTATTTTGGTGTGTGTAAGCAAATTCACTCTTGAGATCGCATAGGTGTTGTTTACATGGTCGATTTTTTTTATACTCTCGCAACCTGTTGCTACAGAGTATAATAGTTTTGTTCACCTAACGGTTGTTTGTATCACCTAAAACTAATCGAATTAGATATAGGGTTATATATATATAAATGATCAGGATGAAGAGACGAGTTCAAATCCGAGTGACTGTCTGTCCGTCCGTCTGTCCGTCCGTGCAAGCTCTAACTTGAGTAAAAATTGAGATATCTTTATGAAACTTGGTAGACATGTTTCTTGGTACCGTGAGACGGTTGGTATTGCAGATGGGCGTAATCGGACCACTGCCACGCCCACAAAACGCCATTAATCAAAAACAAATAAATTACCATAACTAAGCTCCGCAATAAGATGCAAGACTGTTATTTGGTACACAGGATCACATTAGGGAGAGGCATCTGCAGTTAAATTTTTTTTTAAAGTGGGCGTGGTCCCGCCCTTAATAGATTTAATGTGCATATATTCTAAACCGCTAATGCCATTATAACCAAATTCACTGAGAGCAAATTTTTTTAGCACCTCTATTGACGGTGTGTAAATGTATGAAATCGGGTGACAAGCCCGCCCACTCCCCATATAAAGGTACTGATAAAAAAAAACTAAAAGCGTGATAAACCAAGCACTACACACGCCAGAGACATTAAATTTTATCTCTGGGATGGTATGAGATGACTTTATAGGAACCGCGTTCAAAATTAGTCAGTGGGCGTGGCACCGCCCACTTTTAGGGGAAAACCCATATCTTGGGATGTGCTTAACCGATTTCAACCAAATTCAGTGCATAACGTTCTTTTCATATTTCTATGTTATAGTGCGAAAATGGGCGAAATCCGACTACAACCACGAATATTTCCCATATAACACCATTTTCAATTTCATATGATTTTTTCACTTTCCACTATGCATATCAAGCAACAATGATTATATCGGGGTAAAAATTGCGTGAATAATACGTTTAAAGTATGCCACCTTGTGACCAAAAATTGTCTAAATCGAACTAAAACTGTTCAAGCCCCTAAGTACTAAATATGTGGACCCCAGTGCCTATAGTTGACCTTCTACCGAAAATATCAGTCAATCCACAAAGAAATCTCAAACGAGTATACCATTTGGCTTTGCGAGAGTATAAAATGTTCGGTTACATCCGAACTTAGCCCTTCCTTACTTGTTAATTTTAATTTCATTTAATTGGATTTCGTAAATATTGTCTGTATTGACGTCTTTATATCTGGAATTAATTTTGCCTTATACTACATAAGCTGAAAAATCTTTGGGTTTTGTTAAGATCCCGTCAAAAACAAAAAAAAAAATCTATTCTTGTTCAAGAGTACTAACCTTAATAAGAATGCTGGCAAATTTCATGATATTTCATTTTATCGTTCGCAAGTTGTTGGTCTCAAAGTTATCTCTGCTACTTTTGTTTATAATGAAAAAAAACGAAATTTCGTATTTTTATAAAACATTGTTTCCTGAAGGGGAAGGAATCCGTGATGCAAAGCATCGGCTAGATAGCTTTTACTGTAAATCTGCCGGTACTGGCACGTAGGTCATATCATTTACGAATTTTTATAAATGTTGTAGTGTATACATTTTATCGTAACCGTACCAGCACAAATGATGCACCTCATCCAGGAATGTTACAAAAATGTGGGGGGACCGTGAAATGATATTGAGTGAGTTAGTTATTGTAATATCGTTGGCTTCTCAAAGAAACGCGTGTGTATTATTATTAACGAATTTTTATAAATTATATTTTAACATCGATCAAAATGACAAAATTTGATGGAACAAACAATATGTTTCTGCATTATTGGATCAATTATGTGAGGCGCTAAAAGTTATGCCAAATTGTTTGGACCGGAACTATTCAGCCTTTGTAGTATTTATCTCAATATTAAAAAGAGTATCCACATAACGTTCGTCTATTTCTACATATTTCTATATATGGTATACTCCATCAACGAGATCCAACTGATAACTTTATTTAATATTTGTACCCTGAACAGGGTATCTTAAGTTTGTCATGAAGTAATAACCAGAAGGAAACTTCAGAACCCCTATAAAGTATATAACGGGAGTTTTTTTCGAGTATAGAACTTTAAGTTGGCATTACTGTTCAAGATGGCGACCGATTTAACAGCTGTCAAATGATTTATTCTCAGTTTGGATTGGCAATTCATCATGAATAGCAGAGATTATCCTTGATGAATAGAGTCACGCTTGAACAACCCATGCAAGTAGTGCAATTTTATTTCGAAAATAATGGTTCTGTGCGGAAAACATATCGCGCACTACGTTCATTTTATCGTATGTTGCGATGAAGCGCACTTCTGGTTGAATGGCTACGTCAACAAACAAAACTGCCGCATTTGGAGTGAAGCTAATCTTCAAGTGTATGTCGAAACACCGTTACATCCAGGAAAACTGACTGTTTGGTGCGCTTTATGGGCGTTGGAATCATTGGTCCGTACTTCTTCAAAAACGATGATGGCCAACATGTCACACAGACGGCGCAACATGTCACACAGCTCGTACCACAATCGATTTATTGAAAGACACGTTTGGTAACCGTCTAATTTCACATTTTGGACCAGTGAATTGGCCTCCAAGATCTTGTGATTTAACACCGCTGTGGGGTTATGTAAAGTCATTGGCCTATGTGCATAAGCCACAAACTCTTAACCATTTGGAAGACAACATTCGTCGTGTTATTGCCGATGTACGGCCACAAATATTGGAGAAGTCATCGAAAATTGGACGTCCAGATTGGACTACATCCGAGCCAGCCATGGCGGTCATATGCCAGAAGTCATATTTAAAATGTAATGCCACAAGATTATCTTTCGGATAAAAAAAATTCATGTCAATCGAATAATCCATCGTTGTTTTATTGCAATTTAAAGTTCTATACCTCTAAAAAAACGGTTCCATGATTCTTGATCCCCGGACAAAATATCCCCGACAAAATATCCCCTTGACACAATATCCCCGACAATTAATACTACAATAAAAATTTTTGATAACAAACTATCAGTTATAATAATGAATTAACAATTACTTACAAATGTAAGATTGAATTTATTAATAAAATTTTATTACAATAGTTATCAATATAATTATGTGTCGCCATTTGGCGCAATTCAATAATAAAAATTTTAATTTATCAGAGTAACGATTACAAAATTAATTAACACATAAAAACATAATTCACAGATTAAGCATTGTACAACAAAAACATAAATAAATACGTAAATGTATTATCAAGTAAGAGAAATTAATCTTTAATAAATGTTTTTTCACAGAATTATCAACAAAAGTTTAATTTTTTAATAATTAGTATTACTATAAGAACGATTGAAATAATATGAATAATTAATGTGTAACCCTGGTCGGTCCAACACAGTTGCTCATTTGTCGGAACCGCCGATGTCGGACCACTATTGCATATAGCTGTCATTCAAACTGATCGGTCAAAATGAAGTCCTTGTATGGAAAATATTTTTTATTTTAAAGATATCTTCACGAAATTAGGAATAGAGTATTATCTAAAACGGCGTTACAATCTCCGAAGAAAATTTCAGATCGGACCACTATAGCATATAAGTAGCTACCATTTAATCTGAGCTATTAGAATTAAGATTAGTTCCTTTTATGATGTGCACCTGTGAATGATATTACATCTTTGGTGTAGCCGATATACTGTCCTCAGTTGGAGATCGCGCTACAAATTTGCCTCTGACAGAACTATGCTTATTTAAAAGATGACTTTAAAACTTTCCTTACTCCCCATCCACTTTCGACCTCACTGTAATTGCAGCTTATAAGCTAAACAATACAACTTTTTTTTCATTTTCCTATTCAAGTGAGGGTTTAATTATGATTTTCTATTTCATGTCTCCGTTTTGTCCAATGGTTTGTGAGATTTCACCTTTGAAGCAAATCGGTAAAAGGCTCATTAGAGATAATCCGTAAGATTCTGCAAATAATTTTACGTTTATCGCATTATCAATAACTCAGTTGAAACAAGTCTGGTTATAATGTTTAAGTGAAAAGTTTTAGAACTATTAGTATTACTTCTACTTGTACAGTAAAAATCATAAGTTACACTATTTGTAAACGTATTGTTAAACTTTCCAGTTGTGGTGCCTCCGTGGCCCAAAACAGTAGTATGGTATAACAAAAATGGCCGCATCGAGTCTGGCGAAAGGTACAAATTAATAGAAGATGGATTAGGAGTCTACATGATCGAAATAAAACCCTCTGAGAGTTGTGACGAAGGTGAATGGAAATGTGTAGTCACAAGCTATGAAGGATGTGTGGGCATTTCAACATGTAACGTCACAATGGACGGTGAGTAGAAGTGTGCTAATAAGTAATAAAATGAAACTTGTATTGTATATTATTATTTATTTTTATGTAAATAGTTCCGAAAAATTATCGGAAGCCACGTTTCATGGAAAGTTTGCGTGCTGTACTTACCGAAGAAGGTCTTGTTTCATTTGAGTGCAAAGTGGTGGGCTTCCCTACGCCCATACTTAAATGGTTTAAAGATGGTCAGGAACTGAAACCTGGCGACGTTTATCAACTAACTGGTACCAACTCGCTCGGTACTTACTGCTGTGTGGCTAAAAACTGTATGGGTGAGAGCAGCAGTGTTGCTGTACTCACCGTTGAGGATATACAAAATCAACTTAACGACGAGGAACGCTTATTGTTTGCAAATCAAAATCAACCACCAAAATTTGTCGTTGGGCTGAAGAGCCAAGAAGCTAAGATCAATGAAAGCTTCCAGTTTAAAGTAAATGTTAAGGCTACGCCAGATCCAGTACTCTCTTGGTTTCGTGATGAACTGCCGGTTGAGAATAGCGAACGGTATAATCATTATCGTGGTGAGCATGAAAATTGGCACTTAGACATACGATGTGTAGAATTTGTCGACCAAGCGGAATGGAAGTGTGTTGCTGTGAATGACTTTGGCACCAGTGTTACATCTAGTTACTTAAAACTACAGATACCACGTCATTACAAGAAACCACGTTTTCTGGAATGCCTTAGAGCGGTACTCACGGAGGAAGGTGCTGTGAATTTGGAATGTAAAGTAATTGGAGTGCCACAGCCAGTGTTAAAGTGGTACAAGGATGGTGTTGAGCTAAAACCTGGAGATATACATAGAATTATATCTGGACAAGACGGAACCTGCTGTTTAGGAACGTACACCTGTGAGGCAAGAAACTGTATGGGCATTGTAGCAAGTTCAGCTTCATTGCTTGGCTTCGAGGAGGCCTACAAAACTCAAAAGGAAGAGAAAGCTCAGGAAAACGAGTTGCAGCGTAATTTTTCTTTATCGACTATACAAGAAGAGCACACGTCTCAATTGTATGAAACTCCTGTTGGGGATATAACAATTGACTCAAAGGGTGAGGTATCTTTTTCATTTGATGGTAAAGAGGTTTCTGTGTCTCTGTATGAGACACCCGATTTAACTGAAGAGGAAGCATTAAAGATTGTTGAAATGTATGCCGATCAAATCTCAGAGCATGTTACTGAACACAATGTAGTAGAATTGCCACCGTTGCGTTTTGTTAAAGAGACTTCGCAATCGGGTAAACTTCTAATGGAGGCTGTGGTCATTGATATTTCCCCAGAATACTTTACGCAGGAGGAGGATATGCGCACCGAGGCGGGTTTGGATGATATTTCCATAACGGAGATAACTGTACATGGATCTTCCGGACATGAAGATGAAGTCGATCGTGAGACTGAAAATTATGCCCAACGCAGCTTCGAGAAAATGGAGGAAGAACTTTCTCTAACTGCACCAATACGCAAACGTAAGAAATCACGGCCTACAGATACTACAGAAGAATTCTACAGTTTGTCAAAAGCATCTAATAGCCAAGCTGGCGATGATGACACTTCTGATTTGCAAACTTTTGCCAGCGCTACACAAATGTCATCACGTATCGATTCTGCTGTAGGGCCTGATGCCGCGCAAACCGAGGAAAATATACAGCCACCAAAACGTAAAAAGGGCAAGAAACAAACTGACAGTGATTCATCAAAAACAAACGAAGATGATGCAAGAATGCAAGACATTTCTGGAGCAGTTGGCGATGGTTTGATCACTGTAAAACCAGTGAAAGTGATTTCCAGTGCAGAGGAGATTGAAGAAAATTTACGCGCTCTTTTGCCACTGGCCAAACTACTGAAAACGATTGAGCATCATTTGACCGTCGTTGAGAAGGAAGTCGTTGAGCAGGCGGCCATGATGATGACCGCAGCTTCGGCTGAGCAGAGTATCGCTATAATTCGCAATATTTTTGATCCAATAAAACAAGTGCAAAGCAAATTAAGAGTATATTCCGGAGAAACTTCACTTGATGCCCTCTTTCAAACGATGGAGGAGGATATACGAAAGCTGCACACAAGCCTTCAAGTAATTGAAAAGTGCGTTGAAATTGATGAAACTGGTATCACACTTATACAACGGACTAGCGTCTGCATTATAGACAGCGTAGGCGATCAACTAATAAAGGCTTTAGGAGAAGTGCAGAGTATAGCAAAGTGTTTCGAGTCAACTAGTTTACGTGCACATATTGATCTAACGGCGGATGACATTAAGCAAGGTCTCGAAATTACACAAGGCACTATTAAGTCACAGGCTCTACTACAAGAAGCACAAGAATTAGAAGCAGCTAAGCATCTTTCAGAAACGGTGGCCAAATTACAAGTTATGCCAGAAATTGAACCTGTCTCGTTTGCGACTATTTCGGACGCAAAGTTACCTAACGAGGCTGATGCATTGAAGGTTATTTGTCTGCCCGTTGTGAATTTACAAGCTGCTTTAGAAAAGGTGGAAAATGAGTTGAGTCTTGAAGAAAACGAAGAACAAATTTATAGAAAGGTGCACAAAAAGGTACTTGAAAATATTGTAGAACCAATCAAAGAATTACAATCAGTATTGGAGACAATTGAACGAAAGGCTGAACTATCCGGTACACAGTCTACAGAACAAAAGGTTAATAATGCTATATTGGATATTGTAACCCCGGCTCTATTCGAACTCAATAAAGGCTTGGAGGTCATACTAAGTCAGTCGTCTGACAATGTGCAAGCTGGTATGTTGACCGTTAGCACTGTGGAATCAATGGTTCCGCCCCTACAGGAAATACAAAATGGGTTGGCACAACTCACTCAGGATGTGGAACGTGGTCATTTCAATGAAGAAGCGGCGCTCGACTCAGCGGACACTCAAAAGCTGCTTCAAACTATTGCGCAGTCAGTACTGCACTTTGAGACGAATATCGAGAGACTTTCTACACGTTTATCGCCTAATGTACAAAAGGGCTTGTTTAGTTTGAAGGAAGAAATGTCTTCGTTAATTGGAAATGTACTCGACGATAACATTACCAAATACCATGTGACGCTCTTGGAAAACTTAAAGCGTCCAATTGACGAGCTAAACTACTGCATACGTCAAATTGAAAGCAAATCAATTTCGGGTTCATTAACTGACTTTATTGATCCTTTACACAGTTTAAGCGATCGCGTCAATTTGGGTAAAGAGATTATGCATATGTCAGGGGCGAAGCAGAATGAGAAAAATGTAGATGTCCTGGAGAGAATGCAACAATTAATTAGAAATGTGGAAATTGATATTGAAGAACATGAGTTCAAAATGCTACAACACGAAGTAGAACTTGACGAGAAACATGCAGCTGACCAAGAAAAATCTTTCATCTACATGCGTGAAGCAATGGAGATGAAAATAGCTCAAGACGAAGCAGCACAAAATATACAAGAGCTTTTACACACACTTACAGAGATTGAAGCGACACCGGGCTTAGACACTCAAACCCAGGAAGTTTTATCTCAATTAGATCAAAGTCTCACCGGCTTGGTGGCAGATGTGGAAGTATTGAAGGAGTCAAAGAGCACACGTGAAGAAAATGAAGCAGCTACAAGAGTTCTGACTGATATCGCTAAACCACTGCAGACGGTTGCTGAGGTATTACGGAGTACGCTTACACCAGAAAAAGTTCCAAAAATTCATTTAGTACCACAAAGTGAAAGTTTGAGCGCAGTTTTGCAAAAAATAAAAGGCGTCGTGGAGAATATACCGGACCTAACTGAGCACCACATTAAATTAAAAGCACTGCCAATTGTACAGTCTGTGCTTGAAATGGTGCCTGTTCTGCAATCTATTACTAATTTGCCACAAGCAATAACTGCAGTGACCCAATCAGCAGTCGGTGAGAAGAAGAAAGCAGAACCGGATGTTGATGGCAGTGCTGCAAAGAAACCTAAATTAGACAGAAAAACCGAAATAGACAAAGATAAAATAAAAACGGCTCCTCCAAAGGTTGAACCAGTAGCAAAGGTTGAGGATGAAGGCTCGACGCTAGAAGATATATCCGCTATGAAATCCCTAGCGGAATCCTTGCCAGCAGACAGTGAGAACTTCGCTGTGGGCGATGGAACCGATCACCTGAAAGCTTTCGAGGCGAATAAGAGCAAAGTGAACACATTATTGTCTCAACTCAAAACTAGCATTGAATCAGTATTAGGGCACATCGCCATAGTAGACGTTCCTTCCTTGCAACTAGAATCTGCGCAAAAGGTTAAAGCATGTCTGTCCAAGTTAGAAGACGTCAACGAATGTATAGCAGATGTACGTCAACCCATCATTGTGGAAACAGTGCATATACACTCTGACATTAGTGACCATAAAACTTTCGCCGACGCTGTGTGCCATTTGGAAACATGTGTGGTGCAAGTTGAGGAGTGTCTTGCGCAACATGATTTGAAAGATCTAAGCGAAAACTCTGTCTCTGACTTGAAAAAATTGGCTCTACCCTTACAAGATCTTAAAGAGTGCATACAAATATTCCATAATGAAGAATTGGAACAAGTTATTAGTTTGCCACCAGCGAGCTTGTCGTTAACAAGTGCTCAGGTTTTACAAGACATACGTCCCTTTGTGCTTTCTATAAAAGAGAGTAATGCACTTGAGACTCTACAGTCTTTAGCGTCAGATGAGTCTTTAGCACAGCTGCAACAATTTATACAACCCATACAAGAATTGGAAAAAGCAGTGCTTTCGACAATTGATCAAGTGCACTTGTCTCAAATTGAAGGTTTACCATCTGAGGTGAGTATTGTAGTGTTGGAGAAGTGCGCCAAGCCTATTTGGGATATCAGGGAAGCCTTACTGCATGTGCAAGCTGAAACCCCGCAATCACCAATCGAAGAATGTCCAGCATTGCAAGCGATTAGACAGAAAGCCGATGTCATATACAACCTTCTACAATACTGTGGACATGCTAATCTGATTGCATTGGAGAATATAGCTGATATGTCCACACAGGCTGACGTCTCCGCATTGAAGTCTTGTGCGGAGCTGAAGTCTGTAGAGACCGGATTGCAACCAGTAGCGAAAGTTGTAGAAGAAAGTGTAAAGTATCTGGATATCAAAGAATGTATTGCGGGTGGCATCAAACAGATCCAAGTTTGCTTGACTTCGAATGACACAAATAAAGAGCCCGAATTGCAAAATGTTGGCAAAGTTATGAAGGAACTTAAAAATGAATTAGAAAGCATGCAAAATGAATTGTATAAGTCAACAACACAGCAAAATACCGTTGAAGTCAATCAAAGAGTGGCTAAAACTATGTTTAAACTGAAGGAATGCCTGGTGCATACCTATGAAACGGATGTAGGAAAGTCTTTGGACGAGATTGAAAAAACGTTTGAAGATATCTTACAAGCACTGCCGGCTTTGGAAATACATCTGGCTCAAGAGATGTTTACAAAAATTGATACATCTCTGTGCGCATTTAAAACCACATTGCTATGCCCAGATGTCAAAACTGATTTACAAAAATTGGTGGACCCAATTGATAACATTTTGAAGAGCGTAAAATCAATAAATGACTTGAAAACTATTGATATCGAGAAATGCTCATTAGTTGTTGGCAACCTTCAAACGCATTTAATGGCAGCATTTAGAGAGCTAAACGAAGTCAGTGACTCATTAGACGGAGAAGAGCGTGAAACTGCTTTAAGAGCGCAAGACGCTGTGCTTGCCACACATGAATTCATAGTGGACGCCAGAGAGCAACTTCGTACAATTGAGCTCCTTCAGGTAATCGACAGTTTGACGCCGAATCTTATTTCTATTTACGATAGTATTGCATTAGCTAAAGAGCAGAAGAACAAACAAGAACTACTTGAAGCGCTGACTCAACGGGTTTCATCAGGGAAAGCATTTCTACAAAATATTGAAGAAGGCTTAAATGCCAATCATCCACTCTATTTTAAATTAGCAGAGGAGAATGAACTGGACATACGCAATGTAGAAGCTGCTCTTATACGTATAGAAAATGAAATTATACCAAAACTAGAGTTACAAATTCCAACCGCTGAAGATAACGGGCTAGTCGACGTACTCGGAGTGCATTTGAAATCTCTTCAAGACAGTTTCGATAAACTCAACACTTTGCGTATTATTTCGCAGGATATCCACGGCGATGAGAAACAAAATATAGAATTCGAAATGTCTCTTACATCCAAAATACTTTCTGAGGAAGAAAAGCTATATGCTGAATTGCAGCAACGCGAAACGTCATCACCCGCTGAAGAGGATGTATCCACATTGGAAGACGTTTCGGCGATCGAGTCATTACTTGGTTCTCCGCTGCGTTCTCACGATGAACATATTCGATTATCGTCAGCTGATGTAGGTAAGGTCGATGTCTTGTTGTCTCAACTCAAAAGTAGAATTGTCTCAGTGTTGAAATATGGCTCCGAGGTTCAGGTTGACTTTCAACAACTGGAATCTACTGAACAGGTTAAGGCAAGTTTATTGAAATTGGAAAAAATCCATGAATGTTTTGCTGATGTTGGTCACCCTTCTGTCATTGAGCCACCTCTCCTATCCCTCTCCGAAGCTATTAATTACAAAACGTTTGCAGATGCTGTGTGTAATTTGGAAGCATGTGTAGTGCAAGTCAAAGAATGTATTGCTCAGAGTTGTCTGCAAGATTTGAGTGAAACTGAGATGTCCGAACTAAAAACTTTGGAGCAAAATCTGCACGATGTTCGTGAATGCATTGAAGTTTTCCAAAATGAGGAGCTAGAGCAAGTTTTAAGTTTGCCAACAATAAGCATGTCATTAAACAGTGCTCAAGTCTTGCAGGATATTCAACCATTTGTCTTATCCATCAAAGAGAACCATGCATTGGAGACACTGCAGTCTTTAGCAGAGGACGAGTCCCTCGCACAGCTCAAACAGTTTATTCAACCCATACAAGAGTTGCAAAATCTGGCATTATCGGATGTGGAGCAGGTGCACTTGTCTCAAGCGGAGAGCATTTCTCAAAAAGAAAACGTCGAAATTCTGAAAAGATTCGCAAAACCTGTTTTGGATTTAAGAGAAGCCTTACTACACATACAAGAAGAGACACCACTATCAGCGCTGGAAGAATGCCTGCCCTTAAAAGTGGTGAAGGAAAAGATAGATATCGTGTACCATCTGCTGCAATATTGTGAGCAGGTTGACATGAGTGTAGTGGAGAACATTGTGGATATGTCCACGCAAGCTGACATTTCCGCAATAAAGTCTTGCATTGAGCCAAAATCTTCAGAAGCGAACCTTGAGCTAACAGCTGTAGTTGCGCAAGAAAACGTTAAGTTCCCGGATGTTAAAGAAAACCTTTCAAACATCATTAAGCAACTTGAAGCTTGCGCAACTGATGTGAAAGGGGTAAATGTTCCGGAACTGCGCGAAGTATTCGCTGTCGTTATGGAACTACGAAACGAACTAGAAATCATGCAAACCGAGCTCTCCAAAGCATTCGAGCAACAACATATAGCGGAGAGTCAAGCAAAGGTCGCCAAAGTTATGTTTAAATTAAAAAAATGTCTTGCTCATACCTATGAAGCGGGAGTGGATCAATCTTTGGAACATATTGAAACAGCTTTTGCCGATTTGCTACAAATCATGCCAATCTTAGAAATTCGACTGGCGCAAGAGATGTGTTTCAAAATGGAGTCGGCCACTTTGGAGTTCAGCTCAATGTGCACCAAATCAGAAAGCTTAGTAGAACTTCATAAGCTAATCGAACCTCTTAAGCTGGTTTTAAATAACACAAAGGCTATTAATGAACTCCAGTTGATAGAGGTAGAAAAGTCTACAATGATTGTGGCTAATTTACAATCACATTTGATGACAGTCTTTAGAGCGCTTGATGAGATTAATGAAACAATTGAGTCTGGCAAACGTAAAAATATTATTAAACTGCAAAACGCTGTTATTTCCATCTCGAATTTTATTGATACGAGCAAAAAGAGAGTGAGAGTAATAGAACTGATTCAGGAACTCGACTCTCTTGTACCGCAACTAAACTCCGTGCTCACCGAAATTAATGCAGAAGAAAGCAATAAAGGAAAGCAAGCATTTTTGGAAGCACTTACTTTGAGTTTAACATCGGGAAAGGCATTTATAGTTAGAATTGAGGAAGGGTTAAAATCTAAAAATCCTTTATTCGTGAGACTATCCACTGAAAATAGCTTGGACATTCAAAGAGTTCGTGAGGCATTAGTTCGTGTGGAAACTGAAATTCTTCCAAAAATGCATTCGGAAAATCCATCAGCAGAAGAGGGTGCATTAGTTGATACGCTTCGACTTCACTTAAAAAACTTACAAGCTAAACTGGTTGTTAAAAATAACGGTACTATTTCATCACCAAGCGAAGTAAAGGAAACTCTAGAGCCTATTGACGGCGAGAAGAAAGAGCCGGCTATTAATGGTTTGGAAAGCGAACTTAAGCAGAGCGAAGCAGTAATCTTAAAACAGAATCAAACTGAATTATTAAAAGCTAAAGAGAAACCTGTACCGACGGAGGACGAGCAAGAAGCAATATCCCACGAAACTATAAAAATAGGTGAAAAAGAATCGATCAAAACCGCTGAATTAGCAAGTATTAGTATGGAGCAAGCATCACAAGAAACTGAAACTGCTACAGCAACCATCTCTAAGAAGAACGATCAATCAGATTCAGGGGAACCTTGTCTACCAACTGAAATATACTTACAAAAAACTGAAGAACTCATAGGTTTCACAACTGAACTCATACGGAACTTGAATAAGCAACAGTTGAGTAAAGCTACAATAGAAGTTTTCAAGTCGGTTGAAATAACTTTAAGCGAGATGAAGAATTTGATACAAATACATCCGTCAAGTGCAATCGAAGACCACATTTTCCTACCATTATTCAAGTTAAAAGATTTGATTGCATTTATTTACCGATCACCCATGGAAGACATTTCGAAGAGCATGGAGATGCGTCAAATTATACAAAATTCCAATAATGTGTTGCTTGAAGTATTAAACGGGCATCAAGGACTCCGAAGTGCAATGATCCTTGACATCACTGAGGCTACTCTACCATATATCGGCAGTATCATATCTTTCATAGCACAAATATTTCCTAATGACAAGGAGTTGAGTGCGACATCTAGTGCGCTAGAGCGAATTTCTTCAGAATTTGCTGTTATTAAGAATCAAAATGCACCAAATATGAATATTAGTTCACGCTCTTATCAAAGTCTCAAATCAGCTATATTCGATTTGCGAAACTCCTTTGAATCTATATGCACCAAAACCCAAAATTCGCCACTATTAGAACAGAAAGAAGACTTAGATCGTCTATGTAAAGCTATAGATGAAGGCCTCATTACTGATGTTTTAGAGATTCTACAAGAGCTTGAAGTTAAGAAAGACTTGTTTGTTCTCTTATTGGAAGGGTTAAAATATATATCTCAAGAATCGACCCCTAGTACTGTTGCAGACTTTAGGAAAGACGATGAGCCAAAGCGTGACGAAGACTCTGTTGTACATAAAATTAAAAATGTCCTAGCAGTTATAGATGAAAATGAAAGTTGGAAAGATAACGAAGATGAAATTAAAGAGGCAATACAAAACCCAACTGACGAACGTTTTTCAAAACTTTTATTCAAGATGAGGGAGCACATCGTTCACACTTATGAGGGTGCTCCGCTTTCATCGAACGAAACCAATTATAAGTTAGAGGAGATCATAGATAAATTATTTGCTAGTAATCCTGAAGCCACACGAAAATTGACTGAAGAATATTTTGCAAACATAAAAGCTAATAAAAAACATATATCTGAGAATATTACTAAAATTGAGGATATCGAGTTTCAAAAGAAAGTAAGCACACTAAATCTTTACTTAGGAAGCATAATCATAACTATTGAAGAAATAATGACGTTGAAATCTAAAAGTAAACTTGGAAAGAAACTTGATGCACTTAAAAAATCTGTAATGGATACCGTTATATTCTTAGATGAACTCCATAAAGTGCAAAGTGCAGATAAGAAGCTTAGTATTGAGAAAGCTAAAAATATTGCATTAAGTGAGTTTGATTATATAAATAATAAACAAGAAGCGGCACAATTGCCTAAAATTCTTTTGGACACAAATTTATTAACTAATAATCTGCTTGAACTCTGCATTAAGCTACAAACAGCGCATAATATTCCGTCAAAACAAAAGGAAGAAAGGCGCCTGGTTGAAAAAATCGAAGATGTTGAAGTACAGGAGGCTTTTACGAAACTAGATAAGAACGAGAAAATACTGCAAGACCCCTTTGAAGTCGAATCAGTTAAGCCAGAAGTCGTATCAATAGGTCTGGAAGCTGAAACACCTCAAACAGAGAGAACTTTTAAAGAGCCTGAGGCGACTAAAACTCCAGAATCTGTCAAGCCTAAAGCTGTAGTGGAAGCTAAAGCTCCTGAACTAGTAATTTCTGAAGAACTTACACCTCAAAAAAAGGTTGCTTCTAAGGAACCTGAGGCGACCGAACTGACTGAAACCCCAGAATCTATCAAGACGAAAGCAGAAGTGGAAGCTGAGGCTCCTACAGCAGTAGTTTCTGAACAACCTACACCGACAATTATGCAAGCTGAAGTCCATCAACAAGAGGTATTTTCTAAAGAGTGCTCTGAGTGTCTTATCGAAATAACTGGAACCTTAGAAACTGTCAAGTCAGAAGCGAAAGTTATAGCTGAGGATCCTGCACCAGTAGTTTCTAAAGAACCTACATCCACAATTATGCAAGCTGAAGTGCCTCATCAAGAGGTATCTTCTAAGCAGCCTGAGGTGACCGAATTGACTGAAACCGCAGAATCTGTCAAGACAGACGCAGAAGTGGAAGCTAAGGCTCCCGTAGCAGTAGTTTCTGAAGAACCTACACCGACAATTATGCAAGCTGAAGTCCATCAACAAGAGGTATTTTCTAAAGAGCCTGAGGCGATCGAAATAACTGGAACCTCAGAAACTGTCAAGTCAGAAGCGGAAGTGGTAGCTGAGGTTCCTGCACCAGTAGTTTCTAAAGAACCTACACCCACAATTACGCAAGCTGAAGTGCCTCAACCAGAAGTATGTTTTAAAGGGCCTGAAATTACCGAAATAGCTGAAACCTCAGAAACTGCCAAGTCAGAAGAGGAAGCGATAGCTGAGGTTCCTGCACCAGAAGTTTCTAAAGAACCTACACCCTCAATTATGAAAGTTGAAGAGCCTCAACAAGAAGTATTTTTTAAAGGGCCTGAAGTTACCGAAATGGCTGAAACCTCAGAAACTGTCAAGTCAGAAGTGGAAGTGGTAGCTGAGGTTCCTGCACCAGTAGTTTTTAAAGAACCTACACCCACAATTATGCAAGCTGAACTGCCTCAACAAGAAGTATGTTTTAAAGGGCCTGAAATTACCGAAATAGCTGAAACCTCAGAAACTGTCAAGTCAGAAGAGGAAGTGGTAGTTGAGGTTCCTGCACCAGAAGTTTCTAAAGAACCTACACCCTCAATTATGCAAGTTGAAGTGCCTCAACAAGAAGTATTTTTTAAAGGGCCTGAAGTTACCGAAATGGCTGAAACCTCAGAAACTGTCAAGTCAGAAGTGGAAGTGGTAGCTGAGGTTCCTGCACCAATAGTTTTTAAAGAACCTACACCCACAATTATGCAAGCTGAAATGCCTCATCAAGAGGTATTTTCTAAGCAGCCAGAGGTGACCGAATTGACTGAAACCGCAGAATCTGTCAAGACAGATGCAGAAGTGGAAGCTGAGGCTCCTACAGCAGTAGTTTCTGAACAACCTACACCGACAATTATGCAAGCTGAAGTCCATCAACAAGAGGTATTTTCTAAAGAGCCTGAGGCGATCGAAATAACTGGAACCTTAGAAACTGTCAAGTCAGAAGCGAAAGTTATAGCTGAGGATCCTGCACCAGTAGTTTCTAAAGAACCTACATCCACAATTATGCAAGCTGAAGTGCCTCATCAAGAGGTATCTTCTAAGCAGCCTGAGGTGACCGAATTGACTGAAACCGCAGAATCTGTCAAGACAGACGCAGAAGTGGAAGCTAAGGCTTCTGTAGCAGTAGTTTCTGAAGAATCTACACCGACAATTATGCAAGCTGAAGTCCATCAACAAGAGGTATTTTCTAAAGAGCCTGAGGCGATCGAAATAACTGGAACCTCAGAAACTGTCAAGTCAGAAGCGGAAGTGGTAGCTGAGGTTCCTGCACCAGTAGTTTCTAAAGAACCTACACCCACAATTACGCAAGCTGAAGTGCCTCAACCAGAAGTATGTTTTAAAGGGCCTGAAATTACCGAAATAGCTGAAACCTCAGAAACTGCCAAGTCAGAAGAGGAAGCGATAGCTGAGGTTCCTGCACCAGAAGTTTCTAAAGAACCTACACCCTCAATTATGAAAGTTGAAGAGCCTCAACAAGAAGTATTTTTTAAAGGGCCTGAAGTTACCGAAATGGCTGAAACCTCAGAAACTGTCAAGTCAGAAGTGGAAGTGGTAGCTGAGGTTCCTGCACCAGTAGTTTTTAAAGAACCTACACCCACAATTATGCAAGCTGAACTGCCTCAACAAGAAGTATGTTTTAAAGGGCCTGAAATTACCGAAATAGCTGAAACCTCAGAAACTGTCAAGTCAGAAGAGGAAGTGGTAGTTGAGGTTCCTGCACCAGAAGTTTCTAAAGAACCTACACCCTCAATTATGCAAGTTGAAGTGCCTCAACAAGAAGTATTTTTTAAAGGGCCTGAAGTTACCGAAATGGCTGAAACCTCAGAAACTGTCAAGTCAGAAGTGGAAGTGGTAGCTGAGGTTCCTGCACCAATAGTTTTTAAAGAACCTACACCCACAATTATGCAAGCTGAAATGCCTCATCAAGAGGTATTTTCTAAGCAGCCAGAGGTGACCGAATTGACTGAAACCGCAGAATCTGTCAAGACAGATGCAGAAGTGGAAGCTAAGGCTCCTACAGCAGTAGTTTCTGAACAACCTACACCGACAATTATGCAAGCTGAAGTCCATCAACAAGAGGTATTTTCTAAAGAGCCTGAGGCGA